AAATTATTATTTAATGTTGTACCAAGAATATCAAATCTCTGATTCATATTAATAATATTATCATTAATTCTTCCAAATCGATTATTAATATTTCTATCTAAATTATTAAATCTTAGATTTATGTTATTACCAATTTGATTAATATTTTGTCCATGTTCATCTAATGTTTTACTAGCTGTAAGTATTCTTTGGTTTAACTGATTAAAACGATTAAAAATATTATTATTTGTTTTTGTATAATGGGTGTTAATATTTCTATTTATACGATCTAATATAGTTTCTAATTGGATTTCTGATTGTCTAATTAAATTAACTAATCTTTGATCATGTTGTTGAAATTGATTCTGTAAATTTTGTAAACCTATTCCACCTAATGGAATATTATTATTTCCATTACCATTATTTCCAGGTCTTGGTGGAATTGGTGGTGGTCTAGGTGGTATAGGAGGTGGTTGTTTTGGTAAAGGATTTAAACCAACTCCAATATTTGGTGGTACTGGTCTATTATTTTCAACATACCACAATCTTAATTCTCTAATCGATTTTATTAATCTAGGATTTAAACATGGTTGTACTAATCCATTTTGAAATGGACATTGGGGATCATAACGATTATGATTTTCATTACCACAACATCCACATGCAGCAATATAATTTGGAATTCTTGGTCTCTTTGGTATTCTAGGAATTCTTGGAATTTTAGGAATATTTTGATTATAAAAAATATATGGTTGTTGTGGTATATTTATAAATCGGTAAGGTATATTAACATATTGATAAGGTATATTATTAAAATAAGGATAATGATAAATAAATTGACATTTTACAAATTGTATTAATATTAATAAATGTAATATTTTTATTAAATTCATTTTATTTAATATGACAAAAAATTTTGAGGTAGCATAAATTGAGGAACTAGTCTATTGTTTATACCGTAGTGTTTTTTAAATTCATTTATACCTTTTTTGATTTCAGATAGTTGTCTTAATGGAATACAGAGATTATTTGCTCTTATAGTTGGACAATTTCTTCCAGTATGACCAATTTCACCACAACAGCGACACATTCTAAGATTTAATTTTCGACTATCAAAATATTTTTTTACAGATTTTTTTATATTATTTACATTTGCAACATTTGCTCCTGCAAGTTGAATAGGGCAATGTAATCTATTATGTCCCATTGCACCACAATGACTACATATTTTTCCTTTTGCTGGACGTTTTCTAATCATTATCATATTTGACATCCATGGAACATTCCATTTATTCATCATTGATGTCTGAGGTATTATAGGTGTTTGAGGAATATATGGTATTAATGCATTATTTTGTTGGTATGGTGGTATTAATGCATTATTAGGATTATATGGAACCATGGCAAGTCGATTTGGACATGTTCTTCTATTATGACCTCGGATTCCACATATTCCACATCTTGCAGCATTTGTTTGTAGTATAAACAAGTTTATAATTAATAAAATTACTAAAAAAATTTGTATTTTTTTCCAGGACATCTTTTATTCGATGCAATATGTGATGTACTTCCACAGATTCCACAATGTCGAATTTTTTGATCTGATTGAAAAGTTCTTTTATTACATGAAATAATATTATTTTTATTTGAATTACAATTACAAGTAGAAAATGAAATGTTTATTAATAATAACACTATTAATAATAAAAATATAATCTTCATTTTAAGAAGGAAAAAAAATAAATAATGTTATATATTTATACTATCTTGTCT